ATCTGGCATTTATGATATTTTCGAGCATAGTCAATACAATCACTCTCAATTGTCAACTAATAGTACCCTGCTCTTATGATTTTCTTGCCATCATATATCATTGGCATGTGTCTCACATATCCCATCATGCACCTCTTCGATAATTTTATTTACCTCATCCTTATTTACACACCTCAACAATACTTGGTCATGGCTTCTTGTATAGAGAACATCTTTATCCAAAAAAAAACTCATAGCTAGTCTTCGGATAACCCTTTTATCATTTTCAGTTGCCTGGGTAGGGTATTGATGATTCTTAATGTACTGTAAGATATCATAATACCAGGGCTTCCCATTTTTCTCCTCTTTTACATTAGAGCAGTGAGCCAACATGTCTTTGGCATCTAACCTAATGGGTTGAATGTCAGTGCTATCATTAATTCAAACCATTGCTGCTAAAGTAGCCAAGGCATCAGTAACCAAATTTTTTTTCGAGGTAAATGATCAAATTGAATATCTTCAAACTGCTTGATCAACTCTAGGATATACTTGTGATATAGAATGAGTTTCGAATCTCTCATTTTCCATTGTCCTTTCAATTTATATATAACTAGAGCTGAGTCTCTAAATATTTTTAATGCTTTAACATTTCTGTCTATAACAGCCTATAAACCCATGACACATGCCTTATATTCAACGATATTATTTGTATAATTGAAATTTAACCTTGCTATTATAGGGTAATATTATTTTTTTGAAGAAATCAAGATTGCCCTAATTTCATGTCCCAAGGAATCGGTAGCTCCGTCAAAATACATTTTCCAATGATTCTCTTCATACCCTTTCTTTTTCAGCTAGGAAACAATCATCAGATCTTGATAAAAAAAATTCTAACCTTATCAGCTCATAATCTTCAGCAGTATGATCTGCGAGAAACTCAGCTATGTCATTCTCTTTTATTACCTTCTGGCTAACAAATATGATATCATACTCCGAGAGCATTACTTGTCACCTAGTAATTCTTTCAGACAAAGAGAGCTTCTCGAAGATGTATTTAATTGGATCTAATTTTGCTATAAGCCAAATGGTATGATAGAGTATATATTGTCCAAGTCTTTTAGCAGTCCAAGCTAATGCACAACATATTTTCTTCAAAGAAGAATATTCGAACTCGTATTCTGTGAATTTTTTACTCGATAGTAAATAGCTCTCTTTTTTCGGCAAGACTCATCTTACTACCCTAACACTCATCCCATTGAATTCTTACACACCATCAGATATAAAATTAAAGGTCTCTCTGGAATAGGTGACACCAATACCGGAAGATTTGAAAAATATTGCTTAATTTTTTCAAAAGCCATTTGACATTCCTCATTCAATTCTCCAGGGTTATTCTTTCGCAAGAGCTTAAATATGGGATCACACTTGTATGTAAGCTGAGATATGAACTGAGAAATGTAGTTCAATCTTTTTAGAAAACCTCAAACTTATTTTGGTGTGCTTGGAGGTGACAAATTTTGAATGGCCTGTATTTTATCTGGATCGACCTCAATCCCTCTTTTACTGAACACAAAGCCTAGCAACTTCTCTGACCTTGCTCCGAATGTGCACTTGGCTGGGTTTAGCTTGAGTTGAAAATTTTTCAACCTCTCAAATAACTTTCTAAGGTTGGTGACATGATCTTCACTTTCTCGAGATTTTGTAATCATATCATTTACATACACCTTAATCTCTTTATGTATCATGTTATGAAAGAGCATCACCATGGCTCTTTAGTATGTTACCCTAGCATTCTTTAAATCAAAGGGCGTGACTTTATAGCAAAACATTCATTGCATGGTTACGAAAGTGATCTTTTCCTTATCGTCTTCGGCCATCTTTATTTGATTATACCTTGAGAACCCATCCATAAAGGAAAACACCAAATGCTTGATCGTATTGTCTACCAGTGTATCAATATGAGGTAAAAAAAATTATCATTTGGGCTAGCCTTATTCAAATTGTGATAATTTACGCATATTCACACATTTCCATCTTTTTTAAAAATTGGTACAATGTTGGCTACTTATTTTAGATACATGGCCACTTGCAAGAAACCTACATCAAACTGCTTTTTCACCTCTTCTTAGATCTTCAATAGCATTTTAGGTTTCATTCACCTCAATTTTTGTTGGAATGGCTTACATTTTGGCTTCAAAAATAGTTTATGCTTTACTATTTCTATACTGAGCCCAGACATATCCTAACAAGACCAAGCAAACACATTTACGAATTCTTGAAGTAGATTTTCCAATCGTTGCATGTCTATCGACGAGAGTGACATGCCAATTTTAACTTTTTTCTTATTCTCCTCATCTCCTAAATTCAGCAGCTCAGTTGTCTCTTGATGAGGCTCAATTAGTTTACTTTCTTACTCAACCAATCTCATTAGGTTTGCAGAGATAGCATTGTCTTTGAAATCATCTTCATTATCAAGTGCATCAGTGTTAATTGATTTTTCAAAATTAACCCCTTGATCATTATCATGATTATTTTTTTGTTCATTTAAGGACTTAAAATTGAATGAAATAGTATATGTTGGTGAAATGTATGGAAAAATGGAAAAATAAAAGAAATAACTAGAAGAAATGAATGAAAATGCATCTTTTCTAATTTTTATTAAAATAATAAAAGATAAATAGCCCAAACAAGAAAGACCACCACAAGGCCTTGAGCATAAGCTATTGGGATGTTCAATTACATTGAATCGGTATCAATGATAGCAGGCATTTCAATAATGCTCCAATTGTTCAGCTTATAATTTGGCGGACAAGGACGAACCCACGTTTCCTTCTCATACCTATTCTCATCTTCGATCGCATAGATGGATAACTCAGTAAATATCTTTTCCATGCTTAGTTCAAAATCTTCTTCTGTATCTAAGTACATGAATCCTCTAGACTTGAAGGTATCATATAAGTGTGGGATGATCATTGTCGTCTTGTTGGCTTGTCTCTCCTTAATTTCTCAATCTTCTATTTCATAACCAAGACCCAATCTCTCCCTGTTATCCATCGTTGTCGGAGGCTCTCTTATCCCTTATAAATTTTTGCCCAGTCCTACTCTAGGATATCAGCCTTTATTGATGACCTGACACATTATTATTTTTGAAAGTGTCAGTTTTTAGGTCTTTCACTCACAGAGTTGACTAACTCAAAGGACTGGTAAGAACATTCCATCATCTCTTCAGTAGCTTCTACATATAGAGCATTCAACGGCTGAGTTACCAACATGTTTTCTTCCCCCAAACACTACCACCAACTAACCTTCCACATTAAACTTAATCTTTTGGTATAGGGTAGAAGGGATAACACCTGCCATGTGAATCCATGGCCTTTTTAACAGACAGTTGTAAGATGGAAAGATATCCATTACTTGAAATTTCACATTAAAAGTACACGACCCAATTTACAAGAACATCTTAATATCTTTCAAGACTTCTCATCTGGTCTCATCGAATGCTCGGACAACCATTTGGCTATCCTTCATATGTGAGTAGTTAACAGGCAACCTTAACAAAGTTAACATAGGCATGACGTTAATAGCAGAGCCATTGTCAATGAGGACTTTAGCTATAATATGGCTCTTGCACTTGACAGTAATATGCAAAGCCTTAGTGCTTTCTCTTTTATCGGGAGAAATCTCATCATCACTAAATGAAATGTAATTTGGCATGACCAAGTTTCCAGCTAAGTGGTTCACATATTCAATAGACATATTATGTGCCACATATGCCTGGTTCAGCACATTCAGTAAGGCATTTTGATGTGGTTCTGAATTTAATAACAGTGACAACAATAAGATTCATGCCAGCATCATATTTAACTGTTCCACCACTAAGTATTCACTGTGTTTTATCAGCTTCAGGAATTCATAAGCCTTTTTTTTTTTAACATAGATTTTGAGCAATCCTCTTCAGGTACTACTTTTTGATTATTTCTTTTTTCACCTTCCTTGGTTTTTTTCTTTTCTAACCCTTTTCAGTGTTTCTAGAGTATAACATCTTCCACTTTGGGTGATGCCCCCTGTACCAGTTATATTGGCAACATCAGGCTTAGAGATATTATCTTTTTACCCTTAGACTATTGTATCACAGCCATATTTCCATGGCACAGCCCTATTGCTCTTATAAAGAAATAGAGCAGGGACTTTAAAGGTTACAGGCCTGGGGTGAATTTGTTTATGGTCAGCCTTGGCTTATCCCCGCAGTAAATTGTTAATGGCTTTGAAAATAGATTTGATGGCGGGTCAATCATAGATACTTTAGCATTTTTTTAACCTTATTTTTTTTTTATAGAATTCAATGTTATATGAATCTCTAAGTTTTTACAATTTCTGACGAAACTGCTCACAGGTTTTGATAGAGTGGCCAGATGCCCCACTATGATACTTACAAGTTTCACTTGCTATATATACCCCATGATAAGTATATGGACTCACTACTTATATCATATCAGTCTTTCATAAAGCATCAAATAGCTGGCTGAGAGGTATCTTAATTTTTACCATTTTTTTTTCGGATGATGCTTTCATTCCACACTTAGAGCATTCACATGATGATTAGGTAAATGATTGCCACTAACATTTAAAGTAGTTACCCTTTTGGTATCGAAGCTAATCATTTCATCTTTGATTAACTATTGCACTTCATGTTTCAATGCAATGCAATTCTTAGTGGAATGACCAGCAATCTCGTAGTGATAGTCATAATGGGCTGTAAGATCATATTATTTAAGGTAAGGTTGCTTAAGTGGCTTTAATTTGCTAGGAGCAATCAAATGATTGTTATAAAAGCTCATGATATAACTCTATATAGGTCATAGGAATTAGATCAAATACAAATTTTTCGTGAATATTTCATTGCTCTTATGAACCACCCAATGGGTTAGTCGGATGGGTCTGAGGTCTTTGGGTAGGTTGAGTGTTAGGTTTATATGTGGTATTTTGAGGTCTAAAAGAGGGTTGATATGTTTGGGGGTAAGATGGCTGTGGGATTGGTTGGTATGGGTAAGGGAAAGCATTATTCAAGGTAAGATAATATGGAGAATATCCTTATAGTGGGTAGGATTAATAACCCCTGAACTGTTATCTATTAAAACTCATAGCTTGAGCTTCAGTCTCTTTTTTCTTTAGGGCTCTTTTAATAGATGCTTCTTTTTCATCTAACTTGCCATTCTTTATGGCACTCTCAATGATTTTGTCAGAGATCACCATGTCGACGAAATTTTTTATTGTATTTTTTATCATCTTTTCATAATAAGAAGATTTCAGAGTGCTGATAAACAATAATGTAGTTTTCTTTTCAATTAGAAGAGTTTGCACTTGAAAAGCTACATCCTTTCACCTCTGGTTGTATTCCTTAAAAGACTCATTTACTTTTTTTTTTTCATATTCTGTTAAGACAAACGATCATGAGCTAAATCTATGATATACCAATATTGACTGATGAAGTCATAGGCCATATTGCTCTAAGAACATATGTGAGTTTTATCCAGCTAGATATACCATATAGCAGCAGAGCCTGTAAGGCTATCTTGAAAAATATACATTAGTAATTTTTCATTATGCGCATAGGCTGCCATCTTTCTATAGTACATGGTAATATGAGTCTTTGGGCATTTCATACCATCATATTTCTCAAATTTTGGTACTTTGAATTTCGAAGGAATAATCACATCCGGAACTAAACAAAGCCCAGCAACATCAACAGAATTATAAAACCAATTTTTTCCATAACCCGTAACCTTTGTTTAAGCATGCTAATCTTCAAGTCTTCCTGAGATTCAACTACTTTTTCTTTTTCTTTTTTTTTTTCTTTCAAGTCATCCAGATCAAGAACTTGGATCAGTTCTATTACCTTTTCAGTAAAGACATGATTCACATAGCTATGGTAATACCCTGGGTTTGAAGCTGATGGCATTCCAAGATATACAAGATATGTGAACTGCTGTGGTGATATATCTTGTGTGGATTAGGCTTGTTGTGGATCAAAACTTAGAGGATATAGAGGGTCGACCACTTCTTGTGATGGAGGGCCCTGTTGGCTTATGTTCTCTTCTATCTCCTTTGCCTTGTTTAACTTGTTGTGAGCATTCAGAATCTTACTCAACTCATTCTCAAGCTTTTTCTATGCTTTTTCTATTTTTTCAAGTTGATGTGAGTTTTCTTGCTCCATTCATCTAGTTCTGGCTCTTGTGCTATATCGGTAGGTGAGGTTTTTGCTAGATGGAGCTATCCTTAATCCTTGAATACCATATTTTAAAATTAGCAAGTTTATATGACTATCTCGTGGTTATTTTGTTAAATGTAATGAATGAAAATGCATGTATGCAAGGAGCATTTGCTTTGAGACAGTGTTCAACCAAAAGATTTCATTTATTCCAAAGAACTTTCGTTTACATAAAATTTATCATCTTAGAGTTATAACCATAAAATTATTTAATCTACTCATACTGGTCTCTTACTTTCTCGATGAAGTTCAGGAGGTGTTGTCCATGTTCTCTTACTAGAGCCACCATTTATTTCAATGCCTCTGTCTCTTCAACTATTTCTCTTGCCTTACATACCTCTTTGCAAATTTGGATTGTTAAGTGCTTAATATACTTTTGTCTTATCAGGTTTTCCCTTTTACCATACTATACTTAGCATGATAACTCTCTATGCTCTCTAACTAATGCAACAACTTCTTGTTTATTCAACCTTTGTCTCAACTTGCTTAAGTAACTGTTCAACATGTTATTTTTTATCTGTACCTGGGTACTTTCTTATTTAATTCAAAATATTCTTGCTTCAACTGCTCATTTTCATTTGTTAGCTCAACGATTATTATCTCTTTGGCTTTTACCTTTATACACAACCTCTTATGTTCATGGTGTAGCTCTGCTAGGTTTTTAATAGCTGTATCGTATTCTCTAGCAATCTTGCAAGCTTTGACTTCATGTTTTTTAGCTCTATTTTTCCATTGATCTTTCTCATCTTGAAGCTTCTGGATCTTTTGCCTTAGCCTATCTTTTTCAGTCTCGAACTTTTTTGTCGTAAACTCTAATTCTGATGGTATCTCTTCAAGCTTTCCTCTTATTGGTGGTTAAAAGCCTTCAAAGTGAATATCACTTGCTGTCTTCGTCTTGCTCTCTAGACCAAGTACCAATGAGTGACCTTATCAGTGAACGGTCCATGACTCACCCTACGAGGGTTTTTCCATGCTTTAATCATATCATTTATCCTCTAAAATGTCTTTGGCTCATTGTAAGAAAAATCTGACTGATGAAGCTTATGTGTCATGGGAATGAACTATTGCTTCCCATAAACTCAGAATGGGACAACGGTGTTATCTCCACATTGATATAGCATAGGCTTATGATTAATCCACGGGACCAACCATCTTACTTTGGTACTTGTCAGCTATTGCAAGAAAGCTATCCATTTTTTTTAGACTTTTGTTCTAACTACTCACTTTCACAGAATTTTTTAATTAGAGCTCGATTGTAAAAGTTCAATTTCGAGAATGCACTTCTCTTACACTCAAAATGGCTTTTCATCCATGAATACAATAATTGTATGCAGCTTGTAAAATACCCTCCATTCCGATGACAATAACTCAAAGATTTGACAGTATTTACTAATATTATCATTGAAGGGTTATAGCCATTGATCACACTTTCAAAGAAGTCAATCACTGCTATTTTAATATAACCTAAGACCTTCAAAAAAATCACCATTTCGTATATGACTAGAGCAAACACGTCTAACCCCCGTTCTTTGTTGGGATGTTGTACTAGGAAATCATGAAAGAGCTTTCAAGGTAGGCAAACTTGGTCTTGTTCTTTCTTCGTCTGAGAATCCACAATCTCCTTGTCTATCCCCATAAGATGGGTCAAACTCTTATGAAATTCTGATTTGTGTTTTTTGACATATATTTTGTCATGAGCCTTGAGGTGCAGACCTAACAAAGTCAAATATTCTTCAATGGTTGGTATTATATCAACTTTATTGAAGAAAAAACACTTGTATGTAGGATCTCAAAATTACACTACAGCTCTAGTTAGTTGATTCTCAACATTTACTGTAAAAAGGTGTGCTATATGTCTATGCCTTTGGCAAAACTCCTATTGTTTTGATGGACTCATCTTCTTTCATATATCAAGCAAATCCTCTAAATTATTTTGTTTGAGGAAGAACGATGTTTCTTGAGTCAAGGTGGAAGCATAGCTAATTGGTAGACAATCCCTTTCCTTTTGCTAAATCCTTTCTGATTGAACCTTTACTTCATTGGCTGACTCACAAGGAGCTAATACAGATGAAAAGCAGACTAGTCATTTTATGGAGTCTATGAAAAACTCTTTGTTGAAGACCGTCTTTCAAGCAAATGTTTTTTATGCAACTTTATGATATGACCATGAATCAATGCAAAAATGAATAAGAGAAGAGGTTAGTACACCAAATAAAGAGAAATAAATAAATTAAAACATCACACATAATAAGAGGAATGAATCCTATACTTTTGGTCAATTCTAAAAAGAATGAGATGGCTATATCTATAGGTTAGGCGCTTCTAAGGTTCACTATATGTGGTTCAAGGTTAAAGTCTAAAAGTTCATAAATTATTCCTTACATCATTATCCATCACAGGCTAGTAAGGCACCATAATCCTCACCCATTATAGGTTACAAACGAAAAAAGTTCAATTTGAGTGAAAGTATTTCACTAGTCACTGCGAAGGCATTAAAATCTCTCAAAAGTATAGGTTCTTTACTCCCTCATAGAGAGACGAAGTTTGGGTATAGAACTCATGTCATGCACATGCATATGAATGACATAATCATCAAACGAATAAATAGAATTAATGCATAAGAAATCTTTACAAAAAATTTAATTTTATTATGCTTTTGGATAACAAATTTATTTGCTGGCTTGACTCTCAGCTTTCTCTAGTGGAGTCACCAAACTATCATGATGTCTAGATCTGGGGATCTATCGCTAAACATTGACTTGAAGAGTCACCACCAATCTTTTTATTTAGGTATGATTGGCCACCTAAGGAATCTATCATTTCAAGGAACACCTAAGCTTGACTAAGGGTCCCTAAAAGAATAGGTTCGGGCCTATTAATCAGAACATGGTTCGAGAGTTTAGTTACGAGTGAAGAATGTTATAGTACTTCACAACGCCCATCAAAAGATAGTACCAGCTTAATTTTATGTTATCCATTAAGCCTTAAAATTTTACTGAGTATTTAATTATTGAAAATTATCCTTAATTGACTCCAATACTTTTGACAGAAAATTAAGAAAATTCTCTCACCTCAAGAGTATATAAGAAAACTATTGTTTCACTTATAGAAGCTCCATCGTTGGATTATTTAACATTAAAAATTTTCCAAAATGAATTCGACTTTTGATATAGATTTTTTTTTGTTTTATAAGAAAAAAAAACTCGTCCTTTTATACAAGAAAAATTAATACTTTCAACTTTTTCTTAAAGCATTTTAATATTTTTTTTAAATAAAAATTGATACTTTCAACTTTTTCGTAAAAACATATATTTGTTTTTTTTTTTAAATTGAAAATATTTTTTAGAAATTTTATTTTCAAGGAAAATTGATACTTTCAACTTTTCCTTAAAAATATTTTTTAAAAATTTTTATTTTTAAGAAAAATTGATACTTTCAACTTTTCCTTAAAAAATATTTTTTAGAAATTTTTATTTTCAAGGAAAATTGATACTTTCAACTTTTTCTTAAAAATATTTTAAAAAATTTTTATTTTAAAGAGATCATTAAAAATTAAAGAATATTTGAATAAATGATTTTAATTTAATTCATAGATAAATTGGCAAAAAAAAATAATAATCATAAAAAAATAAAAATATATGAAAAAAACCTTGGAGCGACTCGGCTTAGTTGCTAAAATGGCTCGGCTTAAGGCATAAAAGTGGCTAGAAGGTGCGACTTAAGAGGTTCGGCTCGACTCAACTAAACCAAAGGCAGGAGCGCGGGTTAGTGAACTCGAGTTCGCCCTCAGGTTGGGTTACCCACTAGCAAAACACGCGGATCCTGAATTTATTAATGCCCAAAATGACGTCATTTTACAGTATTATAAAAGGCTAATTTTGACCTTTTTTAGTAGAGTTCTTTTTTCGTCCTCTTTCTCTTCTCTCATTTTCTCTCCCTCTCTCTCTAATTTCCCCTAAGAACACTGGTTGAATCTCACAGGATTCTGAAAATTTTGGTCGAAATTTGAATTTTTTGTCGGAAGTTCGCCAGAAAGTTTAACGGTTTCTAGAGATGTGATGCCGAAAACTAGAGAACTAGTTGGAAACTGGGGAGGTCACCAGAATCTCGTCAAAAAATTTAAACCGCGTTGAAAAATTGTTCAAAATCTAGGAAATTTTCCAAATAATTTCTAGAAAAAAAATTCAAAAAAATACCTAAAAATTCTAAGAGTGCTGCTAACCTTCACAGAAACTTTTTTTTGACTTTTGCCTTATGTTTTTTGCTCTCCTTCATCTCTTGCTTCTGTTTTTCCCTATTTCATGTGTGTTTTACTTTTGGATCCAAACCTATATTTATAAGGTTTTCAAATCTAAAAATCTTAAGCTAAATAGGGTTTCAATCCTTTCTGAATTTTGATTCCAACTTTCAATTCATCTTAAACTCCTCAACCACCTTTCTTTTCTATTTTTTCATTTTTTATTTTTTTCATTTTTTATTTTTCTAATTAATTCTAATATAGTAGACCCCCAGACAAATTGGGGTGTCTACAAAAACCATAGCGACTTGAAAAAAATGAGAAGATTAAACGGGTTACTATTGAGTGTGATGTCTTAAAACTGAGAAGGGTTCTATAGAAAAGAGCCACATATGGTGGAAATAAGCAAGAAACAGAATTTAGAGATATGAATGAGCCAGCTATAGTTAGTGATGAGCCAGATATAATCAGTTTTGAGTAGAGGGAGTAATCCTCTTTACTTGAGAGTGTTGAACAATGTGAGTAGTCTTCTTCATCATAAAGTGTTGAGTGGGAGAAACTACCTTCGATATCATGTGGTGTAAACTCTCAGCCTAGAAGATTTACTAGAGAACATAGGTCATCTACCACGTATTTAAGTTCAGATTTTATTTTTGTTACCAATAAGAGAGAGCTAGAGAGCTTTTAAGATGTGCAGACTACTCTAGATATAAAAGTATTGGTTAAAAATAATGAAAAAAGATCTGGAATCATTACAAAAAAAATGGTACATATGATCTTATTAAACATTTGAAAGGAAAAATGCCATTGAAAAGTAAATGAGTGTTGAAATTGAAAAAGAATGGTGACAAGCTAGTGAGGTATAAAGCTCGATTAGTGGTAAAAAGGTTTTCTCAAAAACCAACATCGATTTTGATGAGATCTTCTCTTCAGTTGTGAATATGAGTTTCATTCTAGTACTAAGATTAGCAGCTAGTTTGAATTTTGAGCTTAAGCAACTTGATATCAAGATTGCATTTTTGCATGGAGACTTACAGAAAGACATTTATACGAATTAGCTTGAGGGTTTTAAAGTGAAAGGGAAAAAGCACTTAGTTTACAAACTGAAAAAAAGCTTATATGGCTTGAAACAAGCTCCATGACAGTGGTACAAAATGTTTAATTCTTTTATGATGAGCTGTAGCTATAAAAAAATGGAAATGGATCCTTGTGTGTATGTCAAAAAAAATTTTAATGGTAATTTCATTATTCTCTTATTATACATTGATGATATGTTGTTGTGGGACAATATGCTAGTATAATTCATAGGTTGAAAGAAAAATTATCTAAGTCCTTTGACATGAAAGATTTAGGTCTAGCAAAACAAATTCTCAATATGAATATCATCCGAGATAAGAGAGCTAAAAAACTGTGGTTGTCATAGAAAAAGTATATTGAACGAGTACTTAGTAGATTTAACATGCAATATGCTAAATTAGTTAGTAGTCCACTTACCAACTATTTTCATCTGAGTAAGAAATCTTGTCTGATGACTAAGGAAGAGCAACTAGCTATGTCTAGTATCCTTTATTCTTTTTTAGTCAATTTTTTTATATAACTTATGGTTTGCACATAGCCTAATATTGTTCATGCAGTTGGCATAGTGAGCAGATTACTTTCTAATCCAAAAAATGTTCATTGAAAAGTAGTGAAATGGATTTCAGATATTTAAGGGGCACCTCAAAGATGTACTTGAGTTATGGAGTTTCACAACCAATTTAAAAGGGTTTACTAATACTGACATGATAAGTGATCTTGATGATAGAAAATTTACTTTAGAATATTTGTTCACTTTTGCAAGAAAAGCTGTGTCTTGGCAGTCTAAGTTACAGAAGTGTTTTATTTTATCAACTATAGAGGCTAGCTATATTGTAACAACTAAAATAAGTAAAGAAATGCTTTAGATAAAATATTTTTTTCTTGAATTAGGATTGAATCATAAAGAATATGTGATATTTTGTGATAGCCAAAGTGCTTTAGATTTGAGAAAGAATGTCATCTACCATGCTAGAATAAAGCACATTAATATTAGATATCATTGATTACTTTCAATGATTGAAGAATAGCAGATACTATTGAAAAAAATCTATACTGATAAGAATGTAGCAGATATGTTGACTAAAACACTTCCTAAGGAAAAGCTTAAGCTTTGCACTAACTTGACCGAAATAGGTTCCTTGGCCAAAGTAAATTCTAAATGAGACTGTTATGGTGATGAATCTTCTCTTAGTAAAGCTAGATAGGGAGATTGTTAGAAAAATAGAGTCTAGCCCTATGTAATTGGTTTTGGACCAATCAAAGGCCATAGGCCATAGTCTTTCTTTTTTATATAGAGCCCTAGTTACTTAATAAAAAAAGATAGGGTTTTTTAAGGTAGAAAAACAAGGTGGCATTGTAAACCAAGAAAAGAAAGAGGAAAAGAAAAGCTAGAAAAATAGAGAAAAAAGAGAGAAGGAAGAGTTGGTTTATCGAAAGTCGATCTATAGTTCGAGTGAGCTGCATTTTGTCAATAAATTTATAATTCAGAGTTGTACATTTTGAACAGTGAAAATCAAGTTCAAAGTTCTCTAAGAACAAATCCATGGTGTATTTGTTGAGTCACTTATTTGGTGAGATTTCTTCAATTGTTTCTCTTGTTATTGATTAGCTCTAGTTTTAGCTAGAGAAGAACTTTGTATATCCATTATTTGATAGTGATGATTTTTTTGGTAGTCCGTGATTTTTTCTCTCTACATTGGAGGGTTTTTCATATAAATCTTGATGTGTTTTATTATTTCTACATTGTTGATTGTTGTTTATTATTATGGGTTTATTGTGATATATTATTTCTGCATTATTATGTTTATTACTTTAGGCCCAACACATATTACATTTTATATTAATTCATCCATATATTCATGATTTTGAACTATAAATATGTGATATTTATTATGGATAAAAATACTTAATTTAGCTTAGGTGATTTTTGATAAACTATTATTAACTATATGTTTTAACAAAATTCTCAATGATTTAATTTTTTTCGTTGCATTTGCCTAACTAATTCAAAAATTACTTAATAGAGTATTTTTAATGAAAATTTTTTTAAACTATTCATTAGTTAAAACCTCTATAATGTATTTTCAGCAAATTTACTTAAGAAATTTTGTCATTTGAATACAATAATTTTATATTATTTCTTATTTTATCATTTTTTTAATAAATGGCAATTTTATTATTTAAGAAACAAGAAAAAAGAAACCTGTTATAATAAAACGTCACCATGTTTTATTTTCTTTTTAATTTTAATTAGATATAATTTATTATATGTGAGACCTCCTTATATCAAACTTTTCTTTTTTTTCTTTTTTTTTTTTTGTCCTTTTTCTTTGTTTAAATTTATTTAATAAATAATAATTCATAGGCCAACTTAACTTTACTGTTTTTTAGCTTTTCACTTTTCCCTTTTTAAGTTTTTTTTTTTTTTTGTTTTTTAAAAGTAAATCTTTTTTTGAAAAAAAAGAGATGAATGGGTACACGTGACACTTGATTCCGTTTTTTCTTATATCTTTTTTTAATATCTTAATTAAATAATTCTTGCACCATAGAAATTGACAAATAATTTTTTAAAAAAAGTTAATAAAGGTTTGTGTGATAAAATAACATATATTCTATAGATTTTAATTTGTCTGGATCTAATAGCTATATTCTTTTGAATTTCAGAATGGATCTTTTTTTTCGAAAGTTGAGATCAAGTCAGTTATGAGTTTAGGTTATTTCATCTAGTCCTAGTATATATAAATATATGTTTTATTATCCATTTAATTTTATATTTATATATATTATATTAATAAAATTATTATTATTTGATACCTTATTTAATAAATCCATGTGCAATCTTCATTTTCTTTTTTTTTTTTTGTCATTTTCTTTGTTCCTTAAAATATTTTATTTTTTTAAAATTAAATAAGTTTTGTAAGAAAAAAAAATTAATGAATGTAGATATGATAAAATAACTTATCATATCTTAAGAGTTTCTATTCAATATGATCTAATATATGCTAATTTATTAAAATTTCAAAATTTGATCGAGGTTTTTTCATATTAAAATTAAGGTCAGGCTAGAGGCAAGTTTAAAGTCATCTTTCTTTCCCTGAGTACATATATAATTATATTTTTAATCATTTATTTTATTTTATTTTTATATTTTTATATTATTTCATTAATAAAATTATTATCTAATATTAATTTAATAAAAATACTATATTTATACATAATTAAAATTTAATTCATCCATCTATCTATTTATCTATCTATTATATAAATTTAAATCATTTTCAAATGTGTTTGACCTTCATTTAAGGTTTTGATGTGACATTTTATTTTTTTAATTTTTTTTCCTTTTGTTTTATTTTGTCAATTTTTTGTTTTGAATTTACATAAGTTTATTTTTAAAAAAGCCCAATGAAAAAATTCACGTGATACTCTAATTTGTTTTTTTTTTTAATTACTTAAATTTTACAATAAAAAGAGTTAATGAGTAAGGATGACAAAAAAATTTATATATAATGAGTTTCATTTCAATAGGGAGCGATTTTTTTTCCTTTTAAAAAATTGTTTTTTGTTTTTTGTTTTTTTTTTTTAATTTTTTATTAGATAAATTTTGTAAAAAAATAATGTCAATGGAAGTATTTATATAGTACCCCATTTATTTAATTCCTTTCGTATTTTTTACTTTGTTTCTTAATTAAATCAATTTTACAATAAAATGCATTGATCATAAAGATGTCAAAAAAATCAATATCTAAGAGGCTTCTATCCACCTTGATTCAATATGGACGTTTTTGTAAATTATATTTCATGCTCTTCGTGTTAGCATGAATTATAAAATATAATTTTCATATAAAATATGATATAAATACATAAATTTGTACTGTTTTACATGACATTAATTCACTGCTAAAAATTTTCAAAACCAAAAATTTAATTTTGCATTAGATTATTTCTATTTATCAAACACTTTGTACTTAAAATCAATTAATATTTATACTTAGTATACATTTACTATTTTATAAAGGATGAATAATTAAGTTGTTATCCAAAAAGTAAATTAGGACTAATACCTTTCTATATATAAAACATTGGAGGTCTTTATTATAATATTCTTAAGTTTGTGATCATTTTGGTTCTATTGTATTTAATTACCATATAGAGTCAGCAGCAGTTAGTTTATTCACATCCTTTCCCTCTTCTTAAAAAATGGTCATGTATAGTCGATGCGATCATGGCCATCAAGGTCGCATACAGTATAAACCGAGCAGATTGGCAAGGAGACCTATGTCTCCCCAGAGAGTTTAGGTGGAATGGCTTAGTCTGCAGGTTCAACAGTACTCCAAGGATCATTTCAATGTAAGTGCACTCTTGCAAGTAACTCAAAAATAGAATTCATCTTATATATGTGGAACAATGTTTTAATAATTGGACAGGAGATCGAATCGGTGAGACTCTCGAGTCAAATGGTTCAATCGGCCGATCCAATTGGAAGTGATATTATTTGTTAAAACATGAATTTAGTATTAGATAAATATTAGATGCAGCCAATACTTTGCAAAATTAAACATTAAAACTATTAGAGAGATTACAAAAAATTGAAACATTAAGTACTAATATAAAAGCTTAAAATCAGTTTAAAACCTTTTCCAATCCGATCAAGTTTGGTTCAAAAGGACAGATGACCGATTTAATAACCATTTAGTTCAAGTACTTCTTCCGGTTGATTGGATGTGATCTTTAGTCCTATTCGATCTAATTCTAACAACACTAATATGGGGTCATTAAATAAATTAGGAATAAATTCTACTCATGGTGATTATTTTTAATTGTTTCATTTGGATCCTTAATTTTTTTAAAGAGATTCTCTTTCGATTATTTCATTTCATTATTATGTTAAATATTGAGAAAAATGTCCGCATAAAATATCAAAGAGGTGCTTATGTCACGAGCTGAGACTCAACCTTCAAGTCCACACAGCTTCAAGACCTGAGCTTGCACTCATCCGACATCCTACAATCATGAGTCACACTTTTATAAGGTATTGGCCTTTGGCCCCTATGGCTTCACGGTTCTATCTTACAAAAAATGCCTCACAAGAAAGAAGTGGTGTGAACCCTTTTATACTTCAGTGACCTTCTTTTCATGTTCGATGTGAGATTGGAGTACTCTGCCTACTCCTTGAAGCGCTTGGCGGAGGCTGGCTACTTGCCTACCTCCCTCAAGGCGTTTGATGTGGGTCAAACGATCCATGACGCCCTCGTCATGAAGGCTGGCTACGTTACCTACCTCTCTCGAGGTGTTTGATGTGGGTCAAACGGTCCAGGGTCTGCTCTAATATCATTTATCATGAGCCGAGACCCAACTTTTAGGCCCACGTGGCTCTAGGACTTGGGCATACACTTATTCGACATCCTAGATCAGCTTAACGACTACGATTCACTTTTGTGAGGTATTGTTTGCTTTAACCCTTATGGCTTTATGATTTTGTCCTACAAAAAATACCTAACAAAAAATAGAATATGTGAACTCTTTTATACTCCAGTGACTCCCTTTTCATATCCGATGTGGGATTGAAGTACATTACCTACTCCTTTTTGGAGAGCTTGGTGTAACACTTACACAGCATGTCACAAAATTTATAACATAGACTTTACATTAATTTTAACGGAATATTTTGACAAAAGGATTATAAAATAATTTACCTACAAACTAAGTAGTACAGTCAACAAACTCTAGGTCTTACCAATATTAGTCCAAGATATATATATATATATATATATATATGAAGTGCGCATGTGTTTATCTAGCTTGAAATGATTTCTATACCGTAACGTCCCAATATCAACATAAAACTGTAGAGCCAATCAGTTTCAAGAATGTAATAAGGGTTGGAGCAGTATTTGTTATTCTTACTGATAAACTTCATGCTGAAACTTGAGCGCAAGTAAATTAACAGGGGAGATATCTTCGTCAATCTCTAATCTCCAAGAGTTAGAGTCTCTGTAAGTATTAATTCTCAATGCTTTACATTAGGTACCGTAGAGAAACTTACAGTTGCTTTTTTATTTGTTATAATGGTAAATATTTTAAAACTTAATAAAAGAAGAATAATAATAATGAAGATTAAATAAAAATACCATGTTTTTATTTTTTTTTTTTTAAATTTATAGATGGGTCTTGGTTGTACAATTCATCAAATAGACGGATTTAGGCAAATTTAAATTTTGAACAAATCCAAACCCAACATTATCTAGTTCATAGACACCTCTACACACAATAATGCATATTTTAGTTTTCTGGGTCTAATTCCAATGAATTTCTGTTGAATCATCAAATTAGCCTGGTTGGGAGCCTTTCACTAAAACCATCGAACCCTATTAAGTCCAAGCCCTCTTTGGTAACAAGCCCTAATGCACCATACGGACCCTAATTAGTGGGTTCATTTATGTAATGTAAAGACTCTCTAAATTTCATTTTTCTTTATCATGATTTTTCTTGTTAACATAAAAAAAAATTAAAAATTTATGATAAAAATTTGAAATTATTTTCTTATGCACCAAAATGGTTTATACTATATCTTTGTCATTTTCAGAGACCTGTCGTACAACGAATTGACGGGGCCATACCAAAAGTTTTGGCACAATTGCCAAAGTTGAAAGTTCTGTAAGTTTTTTTATATGCTATTATGATATCTAAAAGCTTTAAGTATTTCAAATTGTATGTTAGGCATACCAAGTTTTCTAATAGTTGCCTAATTAATTAGTACTATATAACCAGCTATGGAATCAACAAAAGTTGTGTGTGTTGTCTATCTATGTTATATATTAATTTCACGCTTTCTCTGCAGAAATTTGTCTGGAAACAAGCTCACAGGTTTAATTCCACAGTCTCTCAAGGACATGTGCGACAATGGATCTTTGCTTTTAAGGTATCCTCGTCTTCTGTACTTTAAAAAATTCGAACTCCAAGATTTAGTCAAATTTCATCCAAACATGTGATTCAACGATTGATACATTATTTTTTTACTCAAAAAGTAAATTTGAATCATCTTTTTTTAAAAAAAAAATTTATCAAATGATTATTTCCTATTTCAAAATTTTCTTGGTAGCAAAAACTTCCATTCTGACCAAATATACGATGACTGATGTATCAAAACATTTGTCTGCTCTGCTTAATGCCAGGTGGGATGAAAATCCAGATTCATGCCTAATGGAACCATGTACTAGAAAGAAAAAAAAATGTTCCTGCTCCCGTTGTTGCAACCAGTGTTTCTTCGTTGGTCCTCCTCGTCCTCTTAGGCGTTCCGTTTATCTTTCCCTATATCAGAATGAGAAGACAAGGAGGTAGAGTTTCTTTCTTTAATTTTCATAATTTTAACCCCGCTTTATTGCTCTCAAGATTATCACTGCACATTAAAACACTGCTTAATTTGGCCATTTTTTCTTCATTTTATACATGTTAGAGAACACGATAGTTTTGATATCACTTGTTGAAAAATTAATACGCACTTGTAACACCCACACACAAAATAACAAGTTCAAATAAAAAAAAAAACATATAAATATATTTATTTTGGCCCAACTCAAAATAATCTACTCTAAATCTAATCTACTATCAAATAAATCTTTACAACTGTGAGACTATTTAATGAGAAAAGTCTCCAAAAACTCATTACTCAAAACCTAATCCAAAATCAAATTACACCATTTTAATAGCCTACTTAGATATTCTCTTGGTGTCTAACAATTTGGGATTACTAAACCAAAACAAAGCATCTTATTTATAAAGGTAAAACCTCTTATATATTTACTAAACTTCTTATGTGGGATGCAAAATAAACTCAAACTCTTATAACTTTACTTAACTTTCAATGTGAGATTATGAGATTATGAGATTCAAGGTAAAACCCAATAAATCCTCCATTGACTTGAATCTCCAAACACTTCAATAGTGTTTGCAAAGCTAATACGTTTACCTTTTTTCTTTTCTTTCATCACAGAAATCTCAACAACTAAGCCTCCATCAAGCATGTACATGTGATCTTTGACCCTATTTTCTTGTAAAATCACACACCATTCTTGTACACTTTTAACGAATCATTACTACTATAGTATGTATACCCCTGAGAAGCTAACTCACCCAAAGCAATTAAATTGTAGCTACAACTCGGTACATACCTTACATGATGAAGCGTCCTAACAACACCATTGTGAGATCTAAAACGAACACTCCTAATGCCTTGAATTTGTACATTTTCATTGTTAGGAACTACAATATCCCATACTTCTTATTCTCATATAATTCCACAAAACAACTCATATCATTGCAAATATGAATTGTAGCAACAGAATCTAAAATTCAACCTTTATCACCTTTCAAAATCTGAGCCTCATCCATATAAGTCATCAAAATGACATATCATCATCAGACATAACAGTAGTCGTATTACTTTTTTCTTCATTTGATTTCCTTTCATCATTTATCCTTTTGAAAGCAACCATATCCCTTCTCAATTTCTTACAGCGCATTTGGATATGTCCTTTTTCACCATAATAATAACTTTCGATATCACTGTAATCTCTATTTCTTGACTTGGATCTCCTTCTTGATTTATCAATCCTCTTTTGAGTTCTCTCTCGATCAAAATCCTCTACAGCTAGTGTACTCCCTTCAGGTGATGAGTTTTGTATTCCCATAAACTTTTTGTTCTCATGAAATAGGGCAATTAGATCATCTAACTTCAAAGTAGACCTACCCACCAACAAAATTTGAATTAAAAGCCTATAAGACTTAAGGCAAAAATGATAGCAAAATATATTTGTTTCGGCCCAAATCAAAATAATTTACTCCAAACCTAAATCCACTATCAAATAAATCTTTACAATTGTGAGACTTTTAAAATAAGAAGAGTCTCCAAAAATTCCTTACTCAAAACTTAACCCAAAATTCAATTACACCATTTTAATAATTTACTCACTTAGCTATTCTCTTTATGTCTAACAATCTAAGATTAACAAATCAAAATCAAAGCATATTATTTATAAGGGTGAAACCCTTTATATTTTTACTAAATTTTTTATGTGAGATACAAAACAAACTCAAACTTTTATAATTTTACTTAACTTTTGATGTAAAACTATAAAATTTAAGATAAATTCCAACAATATATTGATTGAATCCAACTATATCTGGAACACTATACTTCTCCTTGCTTAATAGGCTTTTCTTTCTTGAATTTATATGAGTCGATTGATTCCAATTACCTTTGAAATGCCATGATTAATTGGTTTGTATCAAAGAACTTTGAACCTAATTCGAAAAGCCTGTCCAATCAATCACAATCCAACCTAATGCGATTTGATTGAAAAAATTAACAAGTTGAACTCAAATTCAACTGGGTTAATGATAGTTTTAGTACTTGAATTTAAAAAGAAAGGTACAAATTAATAACTGAACTAGAAGAAAGTAAAAATTAAACTTTGAAAGTTGACGTTTACTGATAGATTAAAAAGTTACACATTTTGAAAGTTCAAGAGAAATGATTTGTACATTTTATTTATTTGAGTACCAATTTGGATACCAAAACTGTATTTAACTCTTTTTTCGAACTGCAATGGTTTCTGCTATTGTGTTGTTGCAGGTCTTGTTATCGCCAGGGAAGGATCATTGATTTCAAAGAATAGACCCTTTACTTACTCTAAGATTGTTAACATTAGTGCTAACTTCACAAGCGTAATTGGAGAGGGAGGATTTGGAAAAGTTTACCTTGGTACTCTAAAAGATGGCACTAGAGTCGCTGTCAAGTTACTCTCCCCTTTGTCGAAGCAAGGGCATAAGGAATTTCGAGCAGATGTTAGCTAAATGCAGCCAGAGTCTCAATTAATACATTAAAATTTCATCTTAATGTTGAAACTACCAACAATAAATTCATTCACATCACTAATATATTGCAGGCTCAACTCTTAATGATTGTTCACCATAAAAAGCTCGTTTCTCTCATCGGTTATTGTGAGGAGGATGGAAAAATGGCACTGGTTTATGAGTATATGGCTAATGGAAACTTGAGGGAGCATTTATCAGGTTGAACAGTGAACTTTGTTCCTTTGGTAGTACTAGTTATTTCCGCGTAGTTTGCAGACCTACTATCCAATCTCTTAAACAACTCCAACTGAGAGAGCTAGTGTTGATCTTTTTTGCCCGCAGGGACTGAATCAAAGACTTTGATTTGGAAAGACAGGCTTCAAATTGCAGTAGACGCTGCACATGGTCCAGATCGAGTCTTAACAGTATCTTTAATTTCTTTGATTTTTATGGTCTGTAAAACTGAATTGACTAACTGATGACATTGGCTAGAGTTGCAGGGTTAGAGTATCTGCATAATGGTTGCACCCCACCCATAGTCCACCGAGATTTGAAAACTTCCAACATCTTGTTGACTGAAAATATGCAAGCTAAGATAGCTGATTTTGGCCTGTCTAAAGCTTTTGCGACAGAAAATGCTTCTCACATATCAACTCGTCCTGCAAGGCACACCTGGATACCTTGACCCTGAGTAAGTGTTATCAAATTTTTATCTGTTTCTTTATCGAAATTTTAAAAAAAAGTTAAGGTTTTGTGGTTGTTCACCAAATAAAAGAAGACATTCTTGGAAGGTATGGACATTTCACTTGGGATAGAGAAAGTAAATTGATTACCACAGATAAAGAAGCCAACATATACACACATCATTGCTGAAAGAATTAGGATAACCTTTGTGATTGTTCTTGTGAGCACATGTTTTGTCTATATTTAATTCTACATTAATTAACCCCTTGTACGATTAAATATCCATTTTGAGAATTATTATAAATATTTTCAAGCTATAGGCCATTATTTTATAGTTCTATTTTTCTAATTTTTCCTAGTAAATGTCTCACTGACAAAAATCATTTGTGTTTTGCGTATAGATTTCACAAGTCAGGAAACCCATATAGAAGAAGTGACAGTTACAGTTTTGGGATAATTCTGTTTGAGCTTATCACTGGCCAGCCAGCAGTACTAAGAGGTTCAGAATACAACATTCACAGACTTCAATGGGTGACTCCTGCAATCGAAAGACGCGACATTCAGAGCATCGTTGATCCTAAATTGAGAGGCGAATTCAACATCAATGCTGTCTCGAAAGCTGTGGAGATAGCGATCGCATGTACACTGCCAACTTCAAACAAAAGGCCAGATATCAGTCACGTGCTAGCAGAACTTAAGGATTGTTTGGCTCCAGATCCGATGGCCCCTAAAAACCCTCCGATAATGCAGACCACCAATCTAATAATAACTTCCTGCCACTCACCCTCAAAAGCCCCTTCGGGTGGTGTTGACTCATATGCAGCTTCCAGCCCCAGGTAATCTGCAAACAATTCCTTGTTGTCATGATTGTAGACCTGATAAGGTAAGTTATTTATACAAATTTCAGCTGGGATCATACCATGTTCATCAATAGACTTTAAATTGATATGTACGTGTGTATGTACTTTTGAAATCTTCATCCTAAAGGTGTGTGAATGACATGATAAAATTTGTGAATCTTCTTTGTTTTTCATGTACCCTATTTCTGTTTGTTTTGTTAGTTAATAATTTTGTGTTGTGAGAAGTTCCAGACAATGGAAAATTCACAAAAAAGCGCTATTCAGTGACAGAATTTGTCAATCGTCTTTGTTTATCATGTACCCTGTTTTTATTTGCTTTGTAAGTTAATAATTATGTGCTGTGCGAAGTTATTCCAGACAACGGAATTGGTCCATTAAATTATTAGACCATGGCAGTTTTCTAAATATCTTGATCATGGTATATGTTGAACAATGAGGACTTATCATGTGCAAAGAGCACTTTGTACTAAACTTAGTTTCTTATTCTTGTCAATCAGGTTTGACTCTTGTAAATAGCATTTCGAAAATAAAATTATAGATGCACCACATTGGTATCGTAGCATGCCATTTTCCTTTAAAATTGTTTGGAAAAAAATATTAAAATCAAACAATATCCCGACCATATTACCAAAAAAGTTAATTTTTTAATTAACAACTCAGGTTTTGAATCCCTACTCGTCCCTTCTCTCACCTTGTATGAATAAAAAAAACTTAGTTCCTTACTCCATCACCGGGCTCCTATTGATGTGCGTTGTTGGCTCCATGTATAGTCCAAGATAGGAGCTCTGTAAGATTATTAATTCACTTTCAGTTGCTTTTGAGATGCATAAATAATACTATCAATGAAAAACTTTCTCTTCTATGTTCGATTTTCGTGACGGAAATTTTCACTGTTTTCGGATGTTGTCGTTGGTTTTGTACTTTTGTATCAATGGGATCGTTGGTTTTGTTTTAATTTCTTTTATTGAGTATACATATGCTACGATGTATTAAATTCCTGTAATTAATGAATTAATAAAATATTATGGACTTCATTTATTCAAGCTTGAAAACAAGATCTATATTCTACAGTTTGACTTAATAAGCAAGGAATCTATAAAGGACCTATAATTAGAAGACCTTAGCCCTTAATACACAAATTAAGTGTATAAATTCAGATATAAAATTCCAATGCTAAGTATTAGTTCAAATAACATGTGTATTGACCTGATTTTCAAAAATTACGAGTTTGAGAGAATTTAAAAACATAATATCTCTTCAAATTAAATAAATCAAGATAGAAAAGTAAGTGTATATTAAAATTTTGTAAAAATATATATAAATTCTATACAATACGGGATCCCAAAAGATATGTCTTAAGGTTTATAAAGCTTCTCTTTTACGTAAAAACTTGAGCTTTCCTAGATGATATGTAGTTGTGAACAAAATTATTTATATTAGGGTGATAAAAAAAATATGATGCTAAAACACTAATTTTTGTTTTTAGTATAATTGGAGCCTTCTCATCATTTAAACACAAAAAATTTTTTCTTATCTTATATAGACAAAATATTTAAATATTAATTCTCCATAATAAATAGATTAAGCTCACACTTTTGATTCGTGAAGTTGTAGTGGCGCTGTGATTGGATATCCAAATTTCTATTATAATTTCAGAAATTCGCTTCCTTAATTTTAACATTTTTTATTAATTGCCAAATTTTAAACATAGTTTTTTAAGCAAAATTTGCTGAATATTTTCTCATTAGAAACAATATGCAGCTAATTCATGCACTTCAAATTTGAAATTTCTCCATTTTCTCATCTAGTCAACTGCCTATTATCAACAATAAAATACCGGAATTCAGCCAGCTAGATCATGGAAACACCAACAGCAACCTTTTAGATGTTTCTAAATCTTTTGCCTGAATTTTAGGTCCAATTAAACTTTAAAAAGAATTGTTTCGAAGAAAGTGTGACGTACAATATAACTCTGCAGGTTTGACTACTGCAAAAAAGTCTTTTAAAGTCAATCGGAGGTTCATGTAATTTCACTTTCTAGTTTCTACCACATAAAAAATAGTTTTTCTAGCTTGGTACGGTAAGTGTTGGAAAATTTTGAAGAAATAGAAATAACAAGAAAAAAGAAATATAGGTTTGATGCATAAAAAATATTATTTTAAAGATAATTATGCTAAGAATGTGGGTTCAGTCTTATTATATCCACCAATTAAAAGGCCCAAAGCTTTTTGTTCTAAAGGAAATAAAGAGACCTACATATTAAAAAAGTGTAAAGGCTATTTTAAGGCATGAAAGATTGTGGCAATGAAAAGGGAAAAAAGAACCAAAAAAATGGAGAGAAAAAGGCAAGAGGAGAATTGGTCAAACGAAAGTTAATCTATGATTCGATTGAACTGAAATTTTATCAGCAGGTTCATGATTCAATATCTATATTTTGAATGATGGAGATTGGGTTTGAAATTTTCTGAGAACAAATCTATGATGTATTTGTTGAGTTACTTATTTGATAAGATTCATCTAATTGTTTCTTTAATTATTGATTAGCTTTAGCTTAGCTATAAAAGAATTTTATAAATCCATTATTTGATAGTGAAGATTTTTCTGATGGTCCATGATTTTTTTTTCATTATACTGGAGGATTTTTTATGTAAATCTTGGTGTGCTTTTATTTTTTCTACGTTGTTGATTGTTGATTATTGTCTATTGCTGTGAATTTATTGAAATATATTGCTTTTGTGATTTTGTATTTGTCATTTTAGGCTCAATAAGTGATATTAGAGCTATGGTTATTTTTAGACATTAATATAGAAATAACCTAAAATAGAAATAAATTCTATTTGAGATCATGGAGAGTGATACAGATTCTATGATAAAATTGACAACATCAAATTATTCAATTTAAAAACCTAAGATGGAGGATCATTTATATTGTAAAAATTTATATGAACCGAAATTGGGTGATTTAGCTAAGTCAGCAGATACGAAAGATGAAAACTTGAAGAAGCTAGGCAAAAAGAGGCTAGCCACAATTAGAAAATTAGTTGATATCAGCATGTTTTATCATATATCATAAGAGATAGATGCCCTTACCATTTGAAAAAAATTGGCAACATTTTATGAGAGAAAAACAAGTAAGAATAAAGTTATACTTACTAAAAAGTTTGCAACTTTACAATATAGCAATAGATGATCGATTACAGAGCACTTGAGTGATTTTCAAGATATATTTAATTAGATGACTACTATGAAGTTTAAGACGGATGATGAAATGAAAGCATTATTTCTTTTAGGTTCATTGCTAGACAGTTGGAATACTTTAGTTGTAACTATTCTTAATTCAGCTCCTGATTATAAAGTCACATTGGAGATGGTAAATGATAGTATGCTCGATGAAGATGCAAGGTGAAAATATTTAAACTCTGGTAATCAAGCACATCATAGAGAACAAGAGTAGAAACATTGATAGAGTTCAAAACTCAAAAGGTCGTAATAAGTCTAAACATAAATTCGAGTCTAGAGATAAAGTAAAGTGATACCATTGTGGTAAACTAGGTCATAAAAACAATACTGCAAAATTTTGAAGCAAGAGCAAAAAGATGAAAAAAGCAAGAGTTTAAATGATGACAATGTTGCAAGGGTAAATTCAAATAGTGATTCAGTTACTTTGATTTGTGCACCTGATTATTGTAATCATGTTAGTGATCTTGACATTAAGTAGTTAATTGATATAAGAGCGACATATCATTGTATTCCTAAAAGAAAGTTGTTTACAACTTACAAAACAAAAAACTTTGGCTACACCAATATAGAAAACAAGAGTGTGTCGTAAATTATTAGGATTGGTGATATTGTTGTACAAACTAGTACAAGTTGTATGTTGACTTTGAAGGTTGTTAGATACATTTCGGATATGAGAATGAATTTGCTTGTGATTAATGTGCTAGATAAGAAAAGATATGTGAGTCGATAAAAGAATGGACAATGAAAGCTTTTCAAAAGATCTATGATAGTGCTAAAAGGAAAACTATGCTACACAACATACAATACATGGATGCAATTAAACAGCAATAAAATAAATACCATTGTGGATGATGTTTCAATAAACTTGTAGTATAAGAGGCCGGCACACGTGTAAAAAAGGGTTTACAAGTTTTTGTAAGACAATTTCTTATTTTCTTGACTAAAGGTATGTCTCTTGATTCATGTGATCATTGTTTATTTGGCAAGCATCATAAAGTTTCTTTTCATAAGCATTCTTAAAAAAAAAACATATTGAAATTGATTCATTCTGATGTATATGGTCCCATTGAGGTTGAGTCATTAGGTGATAATAGGTATTTTATTCTTTTTATTGATAATGCTTCACCTAAAACTTGGGCATACATGTTGAAAAATAAAAGCCAGGTATTATAATATTTTTAAAAATTTTATGCCATGGTGAAAAGGATGATAGGGTTACCCTTAAAGTGTATTTGGATTGATAATGATGAAGAATACATTTTTAAAAACTTTGAAAGATGAATCACATGGGACTAGACATGAGATCAGGCATGAGATGACGGAACCTAAAATACCACATCATAATGGTGTAGCTGAAAAGATGAATCGCACCATTGTGAAAAAAGTCAGATGTATGTTGAGGATGACAAAATTATCAAAGCCATTATGGGATGAAGCAGTTAACATAGTTTGTTATTTGCTTAACAAATTATCACTAGTTCTTTTGGGCTTTGACATTCTAGAAAGAGTATAGATAAAAAAAGATACTTCATACTTTCAATTAAAAGTTTTTTGGTGTAAAGCATTCATGTATATCCCGAAAGAACAGAGATCAAAGCTTGGTAGTAAAGCCACACAATGTGTATTTATAAGATATAGCAATGAAGAATTTTGCTACAAAATATGGGATCCAGTGAGGAAAAAGACAGTTAAAATCAGAGATATGACCTTTCATAAAAAAGAAATCATAGCAGGCC